AAAACATAAAAGAGAATTTATATTGCCCCCAAACCCACAATTCCAGTTTCACCATGAGAAAAACATCAGACTAATCCAACTGAGAGACAGTCTACCAAATACCTGACTGGCACTCCTCAAAACTATCATGATCATTGAAAACAAGAAAATGTAATACGGCCAGAGGACCGTGGTACAGAAATCATTAGAGGAAAAACTGGTGAACATCTAATAAGGTCTATAGTTAAGTAATACTGTTCCAATGTTAACATAAGCAGAGTACAGGAAACAGCTCTATTGATCTGAGTACATTTACCAATCACAAGAAACTGGGATGTGCATTTGTTTATACGCAGCAAGTGAGGTGGGCAGGGGGAAAGAAGATAAAAGAAAGCAAAGCCTACGGCATGCTCAGAGTGGGACATTTTAAGGAGACCCTTTCCATACAGACTTTTGAGCCTCCTACCCCTGCCAAAGAGTAAAATTCTAGAGTAAAGACAAACTAGAGTTGTTGCTATCTCACCCTCCAAAGAGGAGTGTGGGGAGCCATGCCTTGGAGCCGAACAAAACGGGGCGGGGGGGGGGGGGACCAAGGGGGTAAAGCCGCAGGGGGGGGGGGGGGGGGATGGGGTGCAGGACAGGATGAAAGAAATTCTTTAAGAGGCTATAAATTTGGGCAGGCACCTCCTGAAAATCTGTTCCAAGAAATCTCTCATGCAATTAATTCAGTTTAAGGGGGTCCTAAACAAGCTGTACACTTAGGCCTTATCAGAAGCAAACTCAAATCCTCTTTCGAAGACTACAGCTTCAGGCCAAGGCTTGGGAAATCCCCACAAATAATTTTTCAAAGGCAATGAAAAGCTACTCGAACATAACAAGCACAAAAGGAAAGAAGGGAACCTAAAAAACACCACAAAAATAATAGCTAGCAGAGAAAGATCTATAAAGTCCTCAAATACTGGAATTATCAGTGACAGATTAAAAATCAACATGCTTACTGTTCTTAAAGGAATAGAGAGGATAGCTACACCACGAAAAAAGATAACAAGAGGATATGATTCACAAATCTATACTAGTACATTTGAAAATTTAGACAAAATGGACAAATGTCTAGGAAAATGTAACTTATCAAAATTGACTTAAAGAAAAATACATAACCTGGACAGACCTATAACCACCACATAAATTGAATCCACAGTCAACGGATTGGATACAAAACAAATGTATCCAACGTTGGATACAAAACAACAAAATTAATTCTCTTTCTCTTTTCAGATCCAGATGGCTTCCATGGTCAGTTCTACCAATCATTCTAGGAAGAAATATTCCAATCTTATATAATACACTTCCAGAGCATTAAAAGAGAGAGAAAATACATGAGATGCAATACTTCCTGACTCATACTATGAAGCCAACATAACCTTGATAGCAAAATCTCATGAGGACACTACAAGAAAGGAAATTTACAAGTTAACTTCTCCCATAAATATGAATGAAAAAATCCTACATAAATTACTAATAAACTAAATTCAAAAACATAAGGATACTTCATCACAACCAAGTTTAGTTTCTCCCAGAAATGCCAGGTTGTTTTAACTGTAAAATATACTAATGAAAGGATGGAAATAAGACCATATATATGTACACACCTGTATTTGCAAAAACAAACACTTGAACGATAAGCAGAAAACTAATAAAAGTGGTTACCAAAGGTGAAAAAGAGGCTTTTGAAGTATGTGAACATAATACTGATTTTTAAATTTAATTCAATAAGTATATCAATTAATGTAATTCATCACATTAATAAAAGTAAAATCACACGAACATGCAACAGATGCAGAAAAAGCATTTGATAAAATTCAATATCCATTCAATATTAAGAAAAACTCTTTAACAAAGTGGGACTAGAAGGGAACTTTCTTAATCTAATTAAATATATCTTTGGGAAAAAAACCCACTAGCACACTTGTGAAATGTTATGAATTATCCCTCAATTAAGAACAAGGCACAAATATTCACTATCCCTTCCATTCAACATTATACTGGAGGTCCTATCCAAAGCATTAAGGCAAGGGAAAAAAAAAAAAAGCCAAACAGGCATAAGGACTGAAAAGATACAAAAGCTTTCCCTCTTGCAAATAATATGATCATGTGTGTAGAATAAATTTACAGATTATTAGAATATGTAAGACAGTTTAATATGAAAATCAATATATGAAAGTTAATCATATTCCTATATACAATTAGAAAACAAAAATTAAAAACATTTTTTACAATACTATAAAACTGTAAGTATCCAGGAATAAATTTCAGAATGATGTACAAGATCTTTCAGAAAAAAAAAAAATTACAAAACTTTATTGTGAGGCAATACAAAAGACCTAAATAAATGCATCAGAAGACCTCATTTTGTAATGGTATTAATTCTCCACATATTGGTTTATAATTTCAATACAATACAAAAAAAAAAAAAGAAGTCCTGCAGGTTTGTTTTTTTTCTTAATACAGAACTTCATGGTATGATTCTAGGAAATGTAAAAGGCCAAGGCTGGCTGGGACACTCTTCTAGAAGAACAGAGTGGACAGACTTGCTCTACCAGATATTAAGACATGTTACAAACCTATGGTAACTGAGAAAACATGTAGCTCATACAGGAATATACTAACAGATCAATGGTATAAAATACAAGAGCCAAGAAACACATCATACACATATGGGCACTTGATATATGACTGGTGACATAGCAGATCAGTACAGACAGGATAGGCTTTTCAATAAATGCTGCTAGAGCAACTGGCTATCTGTACAGGGTAAAAAATGAAACTAAGCCCCTACCTCCACTACCCAAAAATCAATACTAAGTGGAATGAGACACAAAAAGCACTAATAATAAAGTTACTGATAAATTCTACTACATTAAAATGAAGAACTTCTCTGTTCAAGGTACAATTTTTTAAAAAAGAAAAAGGAAAAACAGAGTAGAAGATATTTGTAACCCGTATCAACCACAGTCAAAAATATAAATATAGGGGCTTCCCTGGTGGCACAGTGGTTGAGAGTCCGCCTGCCTATGCAGGGGACACAGGGTCGTGCCCCGGTCCGGGAGGATCCCACATGCCGCGGAGCGGCTGGGCCTGTGAGCCGTGGCCGCTGAGCCTGCGCGTCCGGAGCCTGTGCTCCGCAGCGGGAGAGGCCACAGCAGTGGGAGGCCCGCGTACCACAAAAAAAATAATAAATAAATAAATAAATATAAAAACTCCTGTAAATTAATGAGAAAAAGACAACCCAAATGAAACATGAGCAAAAGACCTGAATGAGTACTTCACAAAAGAATACAAAAGATACTCAAAGTCATCAGCGACCAGAGGAATGCAAATTTAAACCACAAGAAGATACCATTACATATCCATATGACTGACAAAAACTAAAAATTCTGTAATAACAAGTGTTGGTGAAAATACTGAGCAAAAGGAACTCTTACACTTTTCATGGCAATGCAAATTGGTACAACCACTTTGTAAAATAGCTGACAACATCTAATATTATTGAAGATATGCACAGTGTGTGACCCAACAATCACACTCCTAGGTTTATATTGCATTTAAATGTATGTAGATGTGCAGCAGGAGACATGAACAAGAATGTTTATAGCAACACTGTTTATAATAACTAGAAGTTCCAGAATCTGGAAATCAAAATGTTCACCCTTGACAGAATAGGTAACTTGTGGCATATTCATAAAATGGAATTCTATACAACAATGAAATGGACAAACCACAGCCACTCACTGGAAGAATCTCACAAACACAATGTTGAAAACATAAAGCAAAACCCAAAAGAATGCATGATAACAATACAATATCAACCGTGTCAAGTTCAAATAAGTTTAGAAATACATAAATATGTGGTAAAAGTATAAAGATAAGCAAGGATATTATCACCACAAAAGTCAGGATAATGGTTACCTATGGAGAAGGGAGATGGTTTTAACTAGAAAATTATAAAAAGGGCATGGGGCTTCAATACTGATCCTAATATTCTATTTCTTAATCCGGGTGGAGGTTACATTAGTATTTGCTTTATAGTTATTTGTTAGGCTGTGCCTATGTTTTTATACACTTTGAGTGTGCATTTTACAATAAAAAAGGGAAAATCTTAATATAGGGGATTTTCATTATCAGAATATTTGTTATCCCAGTGCCAGCAACTGCAAGGTTGCTTCAGGAAACAAAAGATGTCATAATGACAACAATAACTAATGAACTGATCACTCAAACTTTCCTGCCTGGTTAACTCCAGCTGTCTCTCTCACTGATTGTAAATATCCACAATATAAATAAAAAGCAAATCATCTGAAAATTCATTCATTCAACAAATATTTATTAATATTTGTAAGATTTCCATACACTGTTCTAGGGGACCAGCAAGGTTCAAGATAAAGGCCCTGCTCTCCTGCAAAAGACAGAGGACCAGGGAACACCCACTCCCATCCCAATTTTGCCTCCACCTTCTCACCCTCCTTTCCAAACAACTACCAAACTTGAAGAATCTAAAAGGAACTCAGGGGCACACATGAAATTATCATCAAAACCACAACCTTAGGGAATCTTTTCACTAAAGAGGAACCACCTGCTTGGATACATCTGGCGAAACCATGGTTTACCAATTCCTTGCCAAGAGCCTTAACCAGTCTCAACAATGAAGATGTCGTGGGAATAGGCTTAAGTGGAGTCAAAATTCCAAGGAATGATTTACCTGGAGACCAGAAGCTTACAATTTTCCAGAAATTATAAACTAGATTTTGCGTGTACATTTATTTTTCTAGGGTCAGAGTCCAGAACTTTCATCTTACTCTCAAAGGACGTCAATCAAAAAGGGTCAATAATCACTGCTCCCAACAAGATGAACAGACCAGCTTTTTAGGGACATGGTGAAAGTTAATGTGGCCACAGGGAGGCCCCCTAGTTGAAACCCAGGTGTCCTGACCTCCTGGCCTATGCTCTGAATGACCAATACTTACTCTTAGTTCTTCGAAGGCTTCGTCTAGGGTGGAGAGCTGGTGGCCCTGATGTGCCCCAATGACTGGGCACAGGACACAGATGAGCTGCTTATCTTCCTGGCAATAGGTACTCAAATCGAGCCCATGGTCCGGACACTTCCTCTTGGCCACTCTCTCCGCTTCCATTTCTATTTCTGGGTCAAATTCGCTTTCTGCCTCAGTTTCTCCCTCCGCCTCCGATTCTCCTTCCTCCTGGTTGTCTTCCTCTGCTTCGCTCTCTTGCTCATCCTCCATTTCTTCCTCACTGTCTTCCTCACTGTCTTCCTCACTCTCGTCCTCCGTCTGACTCTCTTCTTCGGACTCACAGTCTTCCTCGGACTCGCTCTCTTCCCCCGCCTCGCTTTCTAGGGCCTTCTCGTTCTCTACCTGGGCCTCGACTTCTTCCTCTCCCGCCCCATCCCCCCGGGCTCCCGGGGTCCAGGCCTGGGCGGCTCCGTGGACGTACTCGGCCAGGTGGTGCCGGGGGAACTTCTGCCCGTGCGCCTCCGCATGGCGGCGGCAGTAGCAGAAGCCGCATTCCTGGCACACTTCCTCGGCTCCCGGAGCCTCGTCTGGCTCGCACTCATCACACGTGCCGTCGTGCGGCAGCTCCTCGAAGGCCGCGCCCCCTCCGGAGGCCATGTGGGAGCTGCGCCGCGGCCCGGGTCTCCGGGCTTCAGAGCTCGCTGCCTGGCCTCGGCGCGGCCTTCTCGCGTCCTCCTCTCCACCTTGGGCCCGTCCCGCAGACTGGCCGCGCCGTGTCCCGCAGCCTCGGCGCCGCTGCCGCCTGTTCCCAGCAGCCCGCGCCCAGCCCAGGAGCACAGAGCCCCGCCGCCGGCTCAGCAGCCTTGCGGCCGCTGCGCTTCCTCCAGCGTTCCAGGCACTTCCGGCGCAGCCGCCCAGCGCCCCCGTCGGCCCCTGCGCCGCGCCGCCCGCTCGGCCCCCCGCTGCCCCGGCGAGATCGCGGTGCCGCCGGCCCCCGCGCCGCCCCGGTTCCACTTTCCCTGTCCCCGTCAAGCGGCCTGCTTTCACTTCCTGAGTCATTTAAAGTGGCAATGGCCCTTTTCTGCGTTTCCCGCAGGGGTTCAGCATCCCCGGAAGGAGGGAGAGGATGGATGAGGTCTCTGATTCAGTCCAGCTCACTCTGGAGGCGGGAATTGGGCCCCTCCTACTTCACTTCCTCCCTGGAGGTGCCAACCTAACTTTTCAAGGCCACTAGGCAGGTGTACAGGTGCATTTCAGCCTCCCTCCTTCCAATTTGTTGCTGCCCATCCCAATCCCCTCTGCTACCTGTTCTGCAAGATGCCAGGACGGAGTGTTGTTTACCAGACTGAACCTGACCCCTTGGGATTTTCAGGGGGAAGGGTTGTGTTTGTTCTCCCCGGCTCAGGGAATCAGAGTCAGGTTGAGCAAACAGACGTTTTCTATCTAAAGCGATTCTATGCTTTGCCTATTTGCAAAGTCTATTTGCATTCCTGCTCTCCTAGGGGCTCAAAACCTCTAGGATGGTAACCTCTGCGCCTTTTTTTGAGAGCTTGCCTTGGGTTTGGCTGAGATGTCAGGGGAGGTAGGTAGGGAGAGACAGTATTTGTGGAGTGAGAGTTCCAGTGTGCAGACCTTATCCTTTATGGAAGGAGGCCATCTAGATTCAGATTGGATTCGAAGAGAAAGGAAAGGGACTGTTATTTATTAACCAATACTGAAGTGCCAAGAATCGGGCTAGATCTTTTTGTGGCTCCCAAGTTTGGAAGAGCCACTGCCCAAGGACCCTCAAATCCTGGTACTACAACTTATTGGCTTTGCAACCATGAAGAAGCTAACTGATCGTTCTGTTTTCCACTTTATTTACGTAAAGTACATATATAAGTAAAGTGGAAACAATGGTAATACGTACCTCATGGGGCCATTTTGTGAATGAAATGTAAAGGTGCCTGCCTTGTAGATATTCACTACATTTTAACTATTATTGGCATGAATTATATTTAGTGCACATAATGACCCTTTGAAGGAGGTTTTAAACATTTTTGACACGTTTTGGCTGGCTGCTGGTGTAAGCAACTCCTCACCTCTACCCCATATATATGTCTCACCGCTCATTGAAGAGCTTTCGATTTGTACATGGGAGAGGAAATGGACATTTTGATCTAGTCCAGAGAGAGGCGGAGATGTGGTTGAGAAGAAGGAAAGGGGATGGAATGGTGTGTTTTTCACTGAGTCCCTTAGATACTTTTGATCTAGGATTTCCAGATGATCTTCACAAAAATGCCACGGAATGGAGAGGGGTAAAAATCATTTAAAATAATTTTTAACATAGCCACATATAATGTATGTTTAATTTCTGTGCAGATTTTGTCAGAGATTTTATTTTGAAAAAAATATTTTGTTTTATTAACCTCAGGACAACTCTATAGAATGTGGGGGGAAAGGTCCAAAGGTTTGTTTTGTTCCAGTTCTGTCCACATTTCTATTTTTCTCCAATTCATTTCTCCAGAAATTGTCTTTTTGTTGTCATTATTGTTGTTATTGTTTGTTCTTAATTTTACCTAACAGAAAGTTAAAATATCATACTATGCAGTTCAGTATCTAACACTTTACAAACCTTCTTTGAGTCCTCTGTGGTGAGAGGGTCTTAGAGACAGAAGTTGATGGAACTATTAAAAAAGGGACTTCATAATATTCTGGGGATGGAGTATGGCAGACTCACGAGATGGACCTTCTGTGCCCCTCCGTACAAAAATCAGAATGGTCTGATTCCACAGGAATTGGAAACTTTGGGAGTATCTAGAGATAGAAACCTTGTTATATTAATCCATTATTGCATAGAAAAATACCTCAAAATGTAGCCGCTTAAAACAATGAACTTTTATTATCTCACACATTCCTGAACCAAGAATATGGGAGTGTCTTAGCTGGGTGGTCCGGCTCAGGGTCACTCAAGAGGTTTCAGTGAAGCTGTTGGCTGGGGCTGTAGTCATTTGAAGACTTGGCTAGAAATGTAAGATTTGCTTCTAAGATGGATCCTTCACATGGCTGTTCCAAAGAGGTCTCACCATTTTCTTTCTTTTTTTTTTTTTTTTTGTGGTATGCGGGCCTCTCACTGTTGTGGCCTCTCCCGTTGAGGAGCACAGGCTCTGGATGCGCAGGCTCAGTGGCCATGGCTCACGGGCCCAGCCGCTCCGCGGCATGTGGGATCCTCCCGGACCGGGGCACGAACCCATGTCCCCTGCATCAGCAGGCGGACTCTCAACCACTGTACCACCAGGCAAGCCCCTCACCATTTTCTACTGGGCTGCTTGAATATCCTCATGACATGGCAGTTGGATTTTCCCATAGCAAGTGATCCAAAAGAGGGCAAGGTGGAAGATACAATGTCTTATATGACCTAAGCTCAGAAGTCACACAACATCATTTCCAACATAGCCTATTAGTTACAGAGATGAGCCCTATTTTGTATGGGAGGGGACTGTTTGTGTAGGACATGAATACCAAGAGGTAGGGATCTTTAGGGCCATCTTTGAGGCTGGACACCATATTCTGCCCTTTGGCCCCCAATGATTCATATCTCTCTCAAATGCAACATACATTCACTTCCTCCCAAGATGCCCAAAACTCTCAACTCATTCCATCATCAGCTCAAAGCCCAGAATCTTATCATCTAAATCAGGTCAGGTGTGGATGAGGCTCCTAGGTGTAGTGTCTTATGTGCAGCTCCTCAAATATAGTTCAACACTCATTCTTTTCATCTGAATACCTCCCAACATACAACGGTGGGACAAGCTTAGGATAACTGGTACAGACACTCCTGTTCAAAAAGAAGAAAAGACAGGAGGCATAGAAGAGTCACCGGCCTATAGCAATCCTAAAATCCAGCTGGACACATGTTAGAAGTTCCCTGATCAGGGCTCAATCCTACTTCTTTCTGGAAATGACTCAACATGGCTTTTGACTTTATCCCCATTGGGCTCTTGATTCCACCCTCTGAGTCATCCTTCCTTTTCTATGAAAAGATACCCATGTTTGCACCTATGTAATTCGTCAGTCTGCTTCCTGTTAGTAGAATTTAGGGGTCCAAAGTCTCCTTTTCATTTTGTACTGTCTCTGTCCCATTTAGTCCATGCTGGCAGTGTTTTGGCCAATATCATTCATTCAAAAATTTTGTGAGTCTCCTGTGCATCTAATGGGGGCACCACTCCATTGGACAAAAGTCGTAGTCACAAATCTCTTCAAGATAAGCTCTTCTCTACTCTGGAGACTCATTCTGCTGAAACTGCTGAGGCACAACACCCATAAGCTTCTTTAAAGCCCTATTGTTTGTCTGAATGAGTCTCTGAATCACTGCTGTAGCTTTTTCTGAGATCTGAACAAAGGGTTTTACAGCCACACTCTCACCTTCATCATCTGATGTTTTCCTTGCAGCGCCCTAGAGTTTATTTCTAACTGGAAGCCATTTCTTCATTTTAGCATTATTTGCCATCTAAAGAAGATGGGAATTTTCAAGTCTAGCAAGCTCTGTATCCTTTTTAAAAATTACTTCTATATTATCTCTTTCTTCTCACATTTTGCTATCATCAGGAAGAAGACGTCAGTCAGCACCTTCAACACTCTACCTGGAAATGTACTTAGCTAGTACATTACTGCAGGCGACGGTGTTGCTAAATTCCTGCCACTACATCACAAGGACCCTTTTTCTCCAGTTTCCAATAACTTTTTCCTCACTTCCCCTTAAGCCTTTATCTACAGCTTTCTCAAAAGCCATCAGGATTCTAATAGCAGTTGCTTCAAGACTCTTCAGGCTTTTTCACTAACACTCTCCCCCAAGTCCTTCCAGATTCTCCCACTGTCCAATTCCAAACCAGTCCAACATTTTAGGTTAGGTTTTTGTTATGGAAGCACCTCACTCTTTATAATAAATATATATTAATTGCCTATTAATGCATAATGCATTACTCCAAAACTTTGAATCATCTTGGGGGCTACCACACTTGGCACTGGCATTGTCTTCTTGTTGTGGTTAGCAACAATTGTAAGGCGTCTCTAAGATACTCAGCAGGCAGTGCTTGTGGAGAACAAGGCAGTTTGCATTTGAGACTGTTTTGTGAATACATGTGGGACTCTGAGAAATAAATGGTGTATTCCTAAAGTAAATAAGTATCTCCTAATTATGAGGGCAATAGCTGTTAACTTATTAGACATTTGAACTCTATACACATGAGGAAGCCGAAGTTCAGAGAGGCGAAGAAACTTGTTAAATGTTACCCAGCCATAAAGTAGCTAAATTTGGATTCAAACTCAGATCTACCTGACTCCATCTTACCATATTACCGTACCAACCTTACCTATCTTTTTTTTTTAATTTTTAATTTTTTTATTTTATTTTATTTTTGGCTGTGTACGGTCTTCGTTTCTGTGCGAGGGCTTTCTCTAGTTGCAGCGAGCAGGGGCCACTCTTCATCACGGCGCGCGGGCCTCTCACTGTCGCGGCCTCTCTTGTTGCGGAGCACAGGCTCCAGATGCGCAGGCTCAGTAGTTGTGGCTCACGGGCCTAGTTGCTCCGCGGCATGTGGGATCCTCCCAGACCAGGGCTCAAACCCGTGTCCCCTGCATTGGCAGGCAGATTCTCAACCACTGCGCCATCAGGGAAG